TCTGTGAAGGTGGGAGCGTCATTTGTTGACTGGGCAGTACCTGACACCGACCTCGTCTGGTTGCTGATAAGATAGTTCAGGGTTTGGTTTGGACCTAATTTTTGTTGACAGAGTTGATAGCCCCTTCTCAGGTTGTATTTAATGTTCATTCCTAAAATTTTAGCTTCACGGAAGGGACCACTAGGTTATCCCAATGCTTCCTACTGTCTGTGGCATTTCAGTTAATATAGTGACTACAAGGAGGTAGGTTTGGCCAAAGCATCAGTCTGACAATGAAAGAAAGGGAACATGTATCACTTCTCCTAGAACCTCTTTCACTGGTTAATTGTCATTGCTGCTTTAAAAAAAACAACAGCCTTACATCATAAACCTGTGCCCTGAACCTTGTCTAACACCACCAGGCCTGGCCCAAATGACTGTATCCCTCATCTCAGCGAGCTTAAGATGCTCCCTCAGCTCATGGCCACTTGGAAAAGATAACAGACCACAACTCTGGCATCCTAAAGGCATGAAATAGGGGATGAACTCAAGGAACTAATAAAAATTCACACAATCCGGATCAAGGAATGTCCCTTCCTTTTTAACTGGAAGGGCTCTTTATCAAGCTCTTTGCCTGACTGCATCTCCAGCTGTTTCATTCTGGCAGTAACAAGCCCTAGATCAGATGAGGAGCCATTTCCCAATATGCCTGTTCCTAAAGTTAACCTCATCAGAGCACCCTGGGAATATCACTCTGTTTAACCATTTCATGTGGTATCAATTGTTATGCATAAAATGTTCAAGGCAAAAAAGACAAAGGTTCAAGCACACATGACTGAAAGTTTATCTAATTCTCTATGCTCTGGGTCTCAGGCTATAGCTTTGCTGGTGAGAAGATCAGAGTTGCACAGACTAGATTATATTAGACCACTGGCTCTCAGAAATGGGGCAATCATCTTCTACCTGGGGAGCATTCAGCCTCTAAGATGTAAAGAAACCTTTGCTATCTAATGTCTAAAGTAAGACATCTTCAAGACCCTGCTGTGTCGGGGGGAACCACCTGTGTGAGGTGCTCAGACTCAATATGGCTCCAAGGAAGCCAACACGGTCAGATCCCCCAGGCACCGGCAGGAGCAGGGCTCTGTTCTTGGCCTGTGACTGGACTTGAGACTGGGGCAGTCCTAGTCACAAGCAGGAGCGGGATTTTGGGCAGCTGGAGGTAAGGAACAGTGAACAGTGAGCCATCTAACAAGATGTAGGCATGTCCTCGGGTAAGAAATGGCTGGGCAGGGGTATTTTGGACCACAGTCTCAGATTTGGGTACATCAGTTCTTTTAAAGACTTCCTGCAAGTAACTATTAAGGTCTGAAGTTGTTTTCTGGTTTGTTTAGCGTCTAGAATCATCAGCTAAGAGTATCTGAAAATGACTGCCCCAGAGTCATGCAGATTGTACGTTGTAAAGATCAATGCATGTATTAAAAACAACACTTTGAGTTATCAAAAATAGCGACAGATCTGCTCACGGAACTAATAAAAATTCACACAAGAAATATACTCATGTCTATTCCCCCAAAATATGAAAAACCTAGACAAAGCTGTGGTGAAAATTGAGAAACAGCAGCTAAATTCAATGTATATGTCCTTGCCTATAAAGCAAAAGCAAGCACGTCTTACGTGTTGATAGGATATCCAAGAACCTGTCTGAACTTTTAGGCTAGATGCAAGGACTTGAAGAAATAGTACTTGGAGTGTTACACTGGGTATACACAACTACAAACCTTAAGATCCCTTGAGACTCCAAGGAGTTCAGTTCTAGGCAGTAAGTGTGAAGTCTAAATCTTACGGGAAATTGTATAAAGGAAAGAGAAAGTTAGGAAAGGCAAATAAATACATAATGGACATGAAATGGGTAATGGTCCTATTGATAAAAACAAGAAAACACCAGTTAGTCCCACCTTGTCACTGTGCAACTGAACACCACGTTTTCAATACCCCAACTGTGATCTGGCTTGCTGCCCTCTCCTGCCTTCATGTGGAAAAATCATCCCTTCTCCCATTATACCAGACAGATTATTTTGGTCTTCACCTTCTCCCACAGATGCTTCCTTCAAAAAAGAAGGTGACAATCACTTAGCGAATGGTGACCACGCATCCCACATACAGTCAGGATTGTCATCACTGCTTTGCACAAGTGAGTTGACTCCTATCTCACCAGGGCCTAGTTCAGGTCTGAGCTTTTCCAGCCCCATCTTTGCTTTTTGTCTAAATGTCAATTAATGCCATTCAAGATAGCTGGTCTTTGTTCCAAGATAACAAACGTTTTTCTTGCATGTTAATTCTTAATTCTGCCTGAACGTGTCAATCTCGGCATGACTCCCTGCCAGCTGTCCAGCAAGACAGAGCCCAGGTATTTCTATGACAGTCTTGTGACTCCGTCTCAAACATGACTCATTAACAGGCTAACGGTGCACAGACACAGCGAGGAAAGAGAGACTGAGGAGGACAATAACAAAAAAGAGAGATCTCCTGGTGGAAATCACCAGATTCACCCCACGGAGAGCCACTGCGGCTCTAAAGCTGTTTGTCACAAGGCCATCGGAGTCATGAGCAGCGAGGCCTGGCAAGCGGAGGCAAGGCACTTCGGCGGCACCAGCTTTCCGCACAGAGCAAGTCGGTAACAGACAAATCCTGATTAAGCGGTTTGTTCACGTTTGGGTATTGCAGTCCCAGCGCAGTTTGATTTAAGTACGGCCGTTGACTCAATTAAGTACACTATGGAGAGTGCTACAGAAGGAAGAAGTCAGAAGAACAGAATTTGAGAGTGAGGGGGAGGAAATTGAACTGAATAGGAGGAAGATCTGAAGACAGAGGTAGTGAGTTCCTTAAAATAGCAGTGCTTGCCTTTGATGTAAAATACGAAATCTTGGGAACAAAATGAGATAGAGACTAAACAGATGGTGTGAGGAGGGATTCAAAAGTGAGATGACACACCAGAGCTAGATATGAAGAAGTAAATGATGCAGAAGTGGACTTAGCATAAGAGACAGCAGATAATCATCATGTTTTTTTCAGAAAAGCCCTTTGCAGTATTTGTAAGCTATAGCATCAGCAAAATATAATATGAGAGCACTTGACTTATTTTCCTCTCTACAAGAGACTTGTTTTGAAGTCAAAGCAGTCAAAATGTGTTTCTGTGTGAAGAGTTTGTAGATCTTGGTATGTTAAAATATTACTTTAAAAATCTTTCACGCCCAACAGTTACATTCATTTGCTTATCTCTATAGCACTTCAAAAAATTGCCATACCACAGCTCATTTTGATCAAAACGGAAATGCTTCTAAACCTTCATTTTTATCTTTTAATTGATCACTATAATACAGAGGTTTCATTCTTCAGCTGGGAACTTGGCTTTCTTTTTCCCCTCTAGGTTAAAGCTCTAAATCTAAACAGCTCCAGGGCCTACCAACTACATGCTTGGGGGAAGTTACGAATGTTTTAGATTGGCCTGTTCTTGTGAGCCAGTTCCCACAGAGGTGGAGAGTCACAGGTCCAGCGTTTGGAGTCTGGAGTTGGAGATGAACTTCCCAGCTTGGATCCATTTCAAATTCTTTTTTTCTCCAGGAATATTTACTGCTCAGCAGAAAAGTGCCACATTGTCATGTACATTTCTTTTCCGTTTTGCCAGATTTACAACATTATCTGTGTTGCACCAGTTTCTTCCAGCTATCACAAAGTTAGTCAATATATTTTTTTCAAAATTCAACTGCTAATTATTTACTTCCTGAAAAAGAGAAGCACAGGACTCTGAGCAAAGAAAAGCAAAATACTCAGAACAATATTGCAGGCTGTATGTAAGGGAAGCGATCTGCCCTGGTGTGTGCCGTAGCAGGAGGCAACGCTGCTGTGCCAGCCTCCCACCCAGATTGCCTCCCACCTGCACTGCAGTCACAGGGTCTGAAATGTAATCCTTTGTTTACTTCTGCCCCCTGAGGGAAGAAACCCTGAGATAAGGCTGCTTCGCATAAATCATCTCAGAATTTCTCTCCAGTCTCTGGTTTCCACCCAGGTGATGTATATTACAATCTGTAAATGATCTCTACTACCTGACCTGCAATTAAACAATTGGTTGGTCCTCTAAAGCACCACTCAGGTCCCTGTCCCACCAGCTGCTAATGAGATATCACTCTGCTTTGAGTGCTGCTCCTTGCAAAGGTACAGGAAAATGCAAAAAACCCACTACAATTCCTCAGGGACAGACCTGACCCTCAGGTTCTCACTCAGCCAAACATCCCAGTGTTCTGATGGGATCCAGCCCTCATGCTGGAGGGTTCGACTCCCCGTGATCATGTCTCTGCTTGTTCCTCCACCCACACAAACCAACTGTTTTCAATCCCAGTATTTTATCCTGGTTTGTAAATAATAGTCGCACGGGAAGAAGTGCGTTTGCCTCCTACCTGATGGAGACCCTGCGAGTCCTTCATTTCTGTAATAGCTAATCTGTTCCTAAGTGCAAAGGGGGGCCAGGAAATAAAAAGGAAAGGAGCAGTTAGTAACAATTCCTCTCTCTACCCAGCGTGCTAAAGGCTAAGGCTGTGGGTTGTTTTCTTCCAACAGTTTGGAAATATTTCCTATAAGCTATAAATCAGGCTTAATTAAAGCTCTTCCTGTGACTTTTTTCCCCATTTTTCTCTTCCCCCTGCAAGGTACAAAATGACATAGCTAGAGTGCTCAAAACACCCCCAGCCCTCCCAGAGCCCTTCCTGCAGGCTAGGCTTACCAGGGTGCCTGTGGGGTGTGTAACCAGCAGGGAGTAATTGCTTTTGGATGAAAATCGCAGTAATTACTGCTGTTAAAAGACACTGTTGTTTTCTTCTGTAGTATTTCTGGGAGGACACGGAGAACTGGAGGGGGAAGGCTTATTAATGAGGCAAAGCAATCAGTGTTTTTGTAGGCTTGTTTGTTATACTGCCTGTGTCTGCGTAATGTAAATGCAAATAAACCCATCTTTATTTTATTCATAGTTCTAATGGAAAGTCTGTGTCATGGTCTGAACCAGGTGGAAGACAAGCTCCCAAGGGGGAACACATGTGGCACAGACTCTCAGTGCATGTGAAGAGCCAGGAGACAGGGTGCAATCAGACAGCGGTGATCAAACCCCTCACTAAAAGCTACCACGGCCAAAGCAAGAGCCTGACCTTTACCGACATCAGCAGTAAGACTCTGTACAATGTGGTGGAGGAAGAAGATAGAGAGCCCGTTCGCCACAACCAGCCCGGCAGCCCCTCCATGGTGGTGCACAGGCGGGTGGCGACGACCCCCCCGCTGCAGGCCACAGCGGAGGACACCCACCTCTTCTTTCTTCTTGCCCGAGCAGCCCCGCAAGACCCTGCCCTTGCAGCCGCGGTCTCTCATGGACCAGCTGCAAGGAGTGGTCAACAAATTTGCCACCGGCATCCCTCGGCCCCCCTACCAGCCCCCCCCGCCGCACCAGCCGCCCCCTCCGCCTCTCCAGGTGGCCACCTTCAGTGAGGAGCCCCTGTCTCCCCCAGCTGAGGAAGCAGAAAGTGAGAAGCTGAAGCTCATTCAGGGATACGTCTACGAGAAGAACCCAGAGGAGGAGGACGAGGAGCCAGCAACCAGCAAACTGACTCTGGAAGACTCTCCGGCGCTGACGCCCCCGTCCCCTTTCCGGGATTCGGTGGCTTCTGGCAGCTCCGTGCCCAGCTCCCCTGTCTCGGAGTCGGTGCTCTGCACCCCCCCAGATGTGACCTATGCCTCTGTCATCCTGAGGGATTATAAGCAAAGCTCGTCCACCCTGTAGACGCTTCAAGAGGCAAGACGAGAAGGACTTTGGCAGCTGCCCGCTGGGAGGTCCTGGGGAAACAAGTCTCCCAGGGCTGGGGGGAGAGAGAGCAGAGAACAAAGTCATATATGACAGAGCAAAAACTTCATCCTGCACTTAAATAAATAAAAGGAAAGAAAAAGAAAAAAAAAAACATTCTGAGGGCTCAAATTTCTCTAGCTGTTAAAAATAAAAATATCGTACTTTGAGAAAATGATAGGAAACCATAACAAAGCACAAATCCAAGAGACAACTTCTATAGCAAAAAAATGAATAAACACAGAGGAAAAATAATATTCACACTTAGTCACACCCTCTCTTGGCAATGCTTGAAAAGGACTCTGGGAAGTGTGACCTGGAGAAGTCATTAGCACATCTCATGACTGCTGTCTGTCTGCTATGGAAGCAACACACCCAGGAGCGGGAAGGGCAGAGTGCGTTGAGGAGGAATGAAGCTACTTGTATCTGAGGCCTATCTGCATAAATATTTTTTTCCTGGTTTCTATAGGTGATATAACTGCGTAATGTGTTTGGGGGAGAGGAGCTGAGATAATGTGAAAGCACGTGGCTCTTACTGACTTCTGTCTGAACAATTTGTTCTTCATACTAGGCTGCTTTTTGGGGGATCTGGGCTTTTTTTAACGCTGATTGTGAACAGAGCGAGAAATATGATCAAGTTAAGACTTGAGAGGTTTCTGAAGAAAGCCCTTGCTGTAGTACTTGTAATATGATAAGGACTTAGAAAAACTGCCCTTTTGTATAAGATTGCAAACCATGTGGCTAAACTGTTACACAACATTTCCTGTAGCAGAACAATATTTATTGACTAACTTTTCACAATACAACATATTTGCCATGTGATTACATCATTCCTTTGTGTTTCTTTGGAATGAAATACATTGGAAAATAGCTGTATACTTAGAGCAACAACTATTACTCTGAAAGAAAGGCAATTCCATACTGGGGGTTATAGAGTCAGTCTCGAAGCAAGAGAGTGAGCGTACGTTTGTGTTTCTGTATGTGTGTACAGTATGTGTGAAGCGTAATGTCCAATAACTACCACTGGAAGATTGTCATATATACTATGAATATTTTTATGTTTAAATCATGTTTTATATCGCATTGTTACAAATATTCGATAGATCTTTGGAGGTTTGTATGCTGTGCTAACTTATCTTTTTTCATATACAAGCTGAGACAGTTGTTACCCTTATAATAGGGTGCTTTATTTTGCAGATATTTTATGAAGTAGACATATGGCATTAATAACCAGTGCATTGAGAACTTGTTATTTTACATTTGCAGCAAATGTGGTTAACAAAAAAAAGAAAACACAAAAAGAAAAAAGTGTGGTTTAGAAATCTTGCACATGCCAGTATAAAGGCGAGATGGGAAAAGTAATTAAACCATTTTGTTGCTTCAGATAATTTAAAATAAAATCATGTCCGGACAGGAAATTTCATCAGTGCTTAATGTGTGCATAAATTCCCAGGGTTTGTTATAAACAGGTCTTTTAATCTCTTTATGATGCTTAGTTGCGTGTTCTTTCCATACGCTTTCACTTCTTCTATTTAATATACAGTCTTGTATCTTAAAGGTCACTCCTAAGCAGCTGTAGTCATTCATTCCTCCTCCTCTATCCTTTATGTGTTTCCTAGAGATGGGCCTAATCCAAAGCTCCCTAATGGCTGGCATGTTCAAAGTCCAGGTCTAATTGCTGTGGCTTGAACTTAGTTATACTTATTATTACCTTATTTATAAATGTGCGCATTATACATATACAGGACAGGATTTCAGCTGCTATGAACTTTGATTGTGCTGTTGAATTTAGCTGAGGATCTGTCCCACAGTTCTACACTTTATTTCCAAAGATATTTTTAAGGAATCTCTTCATGCTAATATAGTTGCAAAACCTGATTTTAACCATGCTTCTTGTGAATATTCTATCAGAGTTTTTCTGAATTCAGCATATTTCTACACTTCTTTCTTTTCACTCGAATTTTAAGAAGTCCTGCTGCCAGTCATCAATTCTTCTCTGAAGATCCAAATCTCATTGTTTTGATCTAATTATATAGTAGCGGTACTGGAAGGTTTGGCTGGTGCTCAAAACCAGATAGAGCCTTTTTTCCTCATCTCTTTTCACGATGCTTGCTCCTTTCAGTATGACTAGTGGCCAATTGCTATCATCGTCCTGATGTAGAAAGCATGAAATGACTTTGCCCAAAGACACGGTTATATCTTTGTCGGTAGATTGATGTTCTATAATGAACTAAAGACACCTGAGGGTCAGTTGGTTGCTTTTTGTCTGCTTGGGGCTTTTATGGGGATATTTTTTGTTGTTAAATGAGTAATGCTGATTGCTCATTAAAGAAATTAGAAAAATGCCATATTTTCTTTGCTGCTCACCGCACTGGCAATGAATTCTATCTTCTTATAATCTTCGTATAAGATTTGTTGTGCTGTTTCCAAAAACATACATTATCAGTAGCACAGAGCTAGTACTAGGAAGCCGGTCTTTGAAGAAATGAGATAGATAAGAAAAAGAAACATAACAGATTCATATAGATGGGGCGGCAGCAATGTGGCAAGGTACTATATTGTTTTCATATCTGTCTGGTTTGAACATATTAAGCACTGATTTTATTCCTGCAATGTAATTATATCATAAGTAGGAGTTTTCTTGAAATTCAGTATATTAGCTTTTAGTTTGTAATTGTTAAAACTGGAAACATACACATACGTAAATATATCTAAAGAGCAAGAACTCACCTTGTGTATGTAGTTGTATGAGCTATAAGCTTCCTGTAAAAGTTCTTTCTTTTGGTCTGTCAAATGCTTGATGAAAACTGCCTTTTTGTCAAAATGATCTTGAAAATGCTGTAAAATAAATATTTTCTATTTATTATTTAAAAATAGAATGCCAAGATTGTTAATTTTTGCTTCCTAAGTAGAAAATAGCCATGTATAGTAATTAATTGTTCTAGGGCTTTTCAGCATCATGTGTGAGAGATGGTGGGATGCTCAAATGGAGGTAGGTATTGATTAGATTGTGGCATGTAGGTGAGATGGTGGAGAGTTGGAGGATTTTTGTTTAGAAAACAAACCCCAGCTTTTTAGCTTCCTAATAAGAATCAGGAGCACCGTAGGTATGCATTCGGGCTGACGTGTTGTAGAAGAGAATTCAATGGGAAATGACAGGAAATTTTGCTTCCCGAGAACATGGGGAAACGCCAGCCCTTCGCTGGAAATGCTCCATGTGTTTGACTCTGTGAGAGGTCAGCTTCTCCTATCAGGGAAACTCAAATATGCTTTCTTGACAGCTATAAGCAATAGGCATTGATCCGTCCCAGGCATCTTGTGCCTCCTTCCTTTACTGCCTCTGTATAGAGCAAAGTACTGGGACTTCGACTCCTGCTCTGCAACTCACACACACCGTGGCTTTTTGGTGACTCCTGAACTGCCGCGTGCCTCATCTATGGGCTCAGTAAGATGGGAGTATAAATGTTTTTTCTGGAGTGCTGCTGAGATTTTGAGACCCAAGTGATGCTAAACATAGAAAATCCAGCTCTTCTTCTCTTTACACTTGCGAATAGGCTTGTTTCTAGTGGCTCCTTGGTTTGGATCTGGCCTTGCAAGAGCCCATGTCTGAGGAGTCAGTCCACCTACAACTACTGCACTGCTGGAGTACAGAGAATGACATTACATTCAGAGGTAAGTGCCAAAAGTTTGGTCTCTCTGCTTGTAGAGGTTTATCTTTTCTTTCTTTCTTTCTTTCTTTCTTTCTTTCTTTCTTTCTTTCTTTCTTTCTTCTCTTTCTCTCTTTCTCTCTTTCTCTCTTTCTCTCTTTCTCTCTTTCTCTCTTTCTCTCTTTCTCTCTTTCTCTCTCTTTCTCGCTTTCTTGCTTTCTTTCTCTCTCTCTTTCTCTCTCTCTTTCTTTCTTTCTTTCTTTCTTTTTCTCTTTTTCAATTAAAGTCTAGGCAATCTATGTCTTAGTAAAGGTTCTGCTGATCAAGTGGACTCAATTACAAAACCATCCGTAGGGCAACACAGCAGTTACTCCCCTCCAGAGCAACCCAGTGCAGCGTTGCTGCCAGCACCATTCTTGCAACCAGTTACTGTTTGTGGGACCCAGCCCACAGCACCTGATCCTGAGGCCGCTGCACATCTCAGCAGTCGCATGTGGCGTTTGGGGATACATTGTACAATGAACATGGGAATAAGTATGGTGGTGACATCAGAGAATCATCTAAGAAATAACAATTGTTATCTATCTGGTGTCTAACTAGCTACACATATGCTGTGCAAATGAATTCATTTCAAATTGCAGTATTTGCATAGGAGGTTAGTACTAATTGTTTTATGCATGACTTTCCAAACAGTCTGACTAGCACAACGAGCCCAGCAAGTCTTACTTCCTTTTCGATGCAGTTTCAGTTTTTGTATTGCTGCGTTTTGAGCTTAGAGCATGGATGAGGATCAGTCATTTCAGTTTCAGTCATTTTAGACCACATAAATATTTCAGTTTATATTCTTTTTTTTTTTCCTCCACGTAAACATACAACAATATGAACATTACCAGAAAGAGCAGATTGGGCAAAATCTATATAAACAGACTCCAGTAGATATGAGCAAACAACAGTTGGTGGAAGTGCTAAAGGAAAATATGTAGAAGGCCAGATACTCCAGCCTGTTAAAGCTGCTTTATTAGTCTCTAGATTTCCAGAGCAGTTCTTAATGTGCTTTAGTCTGACAAAGGAAAAGACTACTCCGGTGTTGTAGAGTCTTTTTAGAGTCCTTTGGCCTCAGCCCCAAGGGCAGATAACGTGACAGGTGGAAAGGGAACGGAGCTATATGCCTTCAGCTGCATTTCTTTTAATCTAACCTAAGAAAAGGCATAACAAAATCCAAGGCTGGGGAGAAACAAGTATGAAAGCTTTAAATTAGAAATAAGCAAATCTGAATTGTCAATGTAATTGAGT